CCGGGCGCCCGCCGCATCCCGGCTGCGGGGCCGGCCAGGTGCAGCCGCGGCGGCCAGGAGGCAAGCGCGGGCGGCGGGGCTCGGCGCGGCTCCCGCGCGCCTCTCCCCTCCGCTCCACAATGGAGCGAGCCCAGCTCCGCCCTCGCTCACGAGCGCGGAAGGGAGGGGAGCCTGGCGAGGGGAGCGCCCCGACCGCGCGGCGCGGGGAGGGCGGGGGCGGGGCAGGCCCCGCCCACAGCCCCGGCTCCTCCCTCCCCACCGCCCCTCCTCGGCGTTGGAGCGTGTCCTCGGGGGGCTTCTGGGGTCTCTCTGGAACCGGGGCTAAGCAACTGCGCCCCCACCCCCCAGACGTCGTGGGAGGGGACGACGAGGCCGCCTACATCTTTTCATTCCCCTTCTTCCCAAGTGAGCCATCCCACACCCCTCTTTCACACGTCCGTCCCCACGCCCTCCCCTCCTCTTTGAGTTCCCCCAAATCCCGCTGTGAGTCCCAAGATGGAACTCACCTCCCTTCACCGCGGGCCCTTTCCAGTTTCTAGGCTTCTTTCCTTTCCCTCCAAAACCACCACTCACCATTCCCCTGTCCATCGGTGTCTTCCGGTCGCCCCTTGTGCCCCTTAGAGTGGACACAGGTCTAATGACAGTTGGGTCACTGCACACTCCTGACAGGGAAATTCTCGGGGTTTTTTTATTCTAAGGCCCCTGCCCAGCTCTAGTCCTTGAGCTCCACCTCTCCCCTTGTTTCACATCCTGTGTCTTCCGGGTAAGAAAGTCCTAAGAAATTTCTTAGACTAGAAAAGAGAAGAGCTGGAACTATGGACCACAGAAGCTATGCAAACACAAAACTCAAAACCTAAGGGTAGGGGAATGGAGAGAGTTGCGTAGAGGGCCAGAGAATAAGGGCAGTGATAAGACGCTTGAAATGTCACTGAGAGTCACAGGAGGAACTGTTTGAAACCCTACACTCCCAGTGCCTGGTAGCTTTCAGAAACCAGGGCTTTTGTTTGGGTTTTGGTCTTGGGGGAAGGGAGGAATAGGAGAAACCTGACACTTTATTAAGCATCTACTATGAGCCAGACATGTTTCAAACATTATCTGGCTAAAACCATTCAACTCTGAAAGAATTTCGTGAGATTTGAGGCTTACAGAGAAAGTCAATTCACCTAAAGTATTTTAAGTGGTGGTGCTAGGATTCAAAATTAGATCAAGTTGACTCTTTTCATGATATCACAGAGGAGAAAAAGGACAGGGGCTATCAGTAGGTGGGGGCCAGGACCAGCAGGCTTTCTGAGAAGAGACCAGAACAATACTATACACACCACACACCCACATGTCTATGGAGGGAAAAGAGCAAGTCCTCTCATCACCTGAATGCTTTGACCTGTCCCTGAGCACTGGGGACATGTGAAAGAACTAAAGAGATACAGCCAGAATCAAGGCCTAGTCTGAACCCAGGACTCCAGCTCTCCACTCCCTTCTCATCTCACTACTTCCTCCTCTCAGCTCTCAGGGATTAAGGGGTTCCTTGTATTTGGGGTGAAAGAAGGGCAGTTACAGTTAGTGGAAAATGTATGGGATCATTACAACACACACACACACGGCCCCCAGTGATATTCCGGGCACCTTGAGGGTGCTTCCGTCAGCTGCTGCCTATAGTAGCTTAATGGAGAGCAGCACTCTGGAGCTAGAGAAGCCCCACAGTTTTACAGGGGTGACTCCTGATGCAGCACCCACAATATTTCAGGGACTTAGTAGGAACTACAAGGATCTAACTTTTCAGACCAAAGCAGAGAGCTTCACCCAAGGACCAGGAGGAGCAAGACAAGGGCCGATATGAAGAACTAAGGGAGACAGTGGTGGTGTGGGGAAAGCATGTCAGAGCACGTGCAGAAAAAGACTTGCAGAGGCCTCCCCTCCCAGTGCTGTGTATCAGCTGATGTTTTGCAACCTAAGAAGCCCTAATTTATCTCCAGGGCAGATGAACCTGTTTAGTTGCTGAACAGAGTTAGAGTTGCCTGGAGCTCAAGGTCCAGGAGGGGCGGGCAGCTTCATGGAGAAAGACACCAGGATTACAGAAAACACCGCAGTCTGAGAAAAGAGTACTCACCATTCTACCGTGGTGAGGGTCCTGGCTGCCTGCTTCTCACTGTAAGGAGACAGAGAAACATATGAGTAAAGAGCACAGTTAACATCACCACAGAATCAACAAATGCCACACAACTGCTCCTGAACTTCCCCACAACTCTTTATCTGCCTCCCTCATAGAGAACCCAGCCTCTCCACAAGTCAGCATGCCAGACAGAGGCAATGGGAGCTACATGGGGAGAAAGCAACAAGTGACTCTGCAGGGCATGAAGACAGCCACAAAGTCCTGGAACAGGACTCAAGAGTCCTGATTTCCAGTCCCAGAAAGAGAATTTAATTATCCGAACCCCGTTCTTTGTGGGAAAGCAAAAGAACTGCCAGCTCTGAAGAGATAGAGGATGCCCAACCAGGGCTCACTTCTGGCCCTGGTGGGAACATGAATCCACAAGAGCACTCTGCCAGCCTCTGAGGCTGGGAGCAGCACCCACCTGACCTGTTTACTGGGGGCAGAGTCCAGAGCAGAGGCCAAGAGGGAGGGGACCACAACCTGTGATCAGAAGGCAGCAGGGCTGGATGTGTCCCTCTGAGAGCCTTTGACACCAAATGAAGTGCAGGTTAGTGGGAGGAGGCCACACAACAGGGACAGAATCAGGCAAGTGCAGGCCTCAAAGTCAGTACCTGTCAAGTGGGCCCAAGTAACAGGAATGTCAGGATGGGCCTCCTTGGCCCACTTAGGGAGCCACTCAGGGAACCAGGCCCAGGTTTCACTGACAGTTTTCTTCATGCCTGCTATCCGAGCTCAGGGGGCAGTCCAGCAGTACCCCGAAGAAGGCTGTGTGGATATGTCTCCATCCGTGGCCCTCCCCGCCTCCGTGGTCACAGCCTACCCTTCCTCATGGAGGCGGCAAGTCGGGTTGCTGCCTCACCGCCCACTGGCAAGCAGCCTCAGAGAAAGCGAGAGAGAGCGAGAAAAGGACAGGCCTGGGAGGCCCACGGTGTCCGGACCGCGGGGATCTGGTCACGGGGTGGGGGGGGCGGGTCAGGCTGACAGGGAAGCCCAGGTGCCCAGGTTTTAGGGGCGGAGCCTAAAGATTCGGAGGCGGAGCCCCGAATGACAGAAGGCGGGGCTCACGAAAGCCGGTGGGGCCGGGGCGGGGCCGGGCAAGACGCGGTGGTTGCGGTTCCCAGACCGGCAGTGCACGGGGCACGGTGACTCACCCAGCCGGCGTCCGCCCGACCCTCCGGAGGCCGCGCTCTCGCCACTTCCGTCTCCCGCAGCCGCGGAGGCCACGCAGCTCCGACCCACCGCGGCGCCCCTCGGCCCAACCAATCCTACCTTCGGCCCGTGCCCGCCCTGGCCAATAGCCACGCCGAGTCCCACCCTGCCCCCACCACGCAGCCGCCGCCCTCGCTCTTCGCGCCGCTCGTTGGTCCAGTGGGGCAGACGCCCTCCCAGCCTTTAGCCTATCGGCTTCCGGGAAACGGGGCTGCGCTTGGAGGGGAGGCGCGGCGCCGGGGTAGAGACGCAACCAATGGGAAATCACAGCGCGTCCCTGCGGTAGCCAATGGGAGAGCAGGAAAGGGGGGCTGCAGGCGAAGGCTCCAGGGACCGGAAGTGGGGGCGGCCCGTCGCCTCCCGGTGCGCAGTGGAGGGCGGAGCCTCGTGGGGGCCCCGGCTTTACAGCCACTTCCGGTGACCAGCCGGCCTCAGGGGTACTTCTCAGAGAAATCCCAGGCGGCACCTAAGCTTTATCCAGTTCTCCGTTTGGTTTCCCTTCGGTCGTGCGTCGCAAAGCCCGAAGGGACAGAAAGATTCTGAATGCTGAGAGAGAAGGGGACGGTCTGGGCCTGAGGCTCCGTCTCGGTCTTCGACTGGTGGGGGTTAAGAGTCTCCTCTTCCGCACCCTGACGTCTTCCTCCAACCCTCCCTCTGCGTCGGCGAGCCCTGTTTGTGACCTGAATGAATGGTGCTTTCCGTTTTGAGAAGCTCTCTCACCTGAGAGATGGGGCTGAGACTGCCACGAGCGAGTTGCGACCCTTTGGTCTGTAAAGGGTGTGGGGAGTCGGACTCCCCTGAAGATGCAGTTCTTGGCGCCTCCCTTCCTCTCTGCCCAGGGGAGCCAGAGCTGGCAGCAGGGCGGAGGATGGCCGCTGGAGGCCGCCCTGGCCCCGAGATACCACCAACCCGACAGAAATGGAGAACGGTTGGTTCAGATTCTCCACCGACAGCTTCAGTTAGAGTAGACCTGAATGCTTTAATATCAGGTCCTCGGGCCACAATGTCTTCACTTCTCTTTTGCAAAGGACATTGGAGCTTTTACTCCGTATATAGTAAATCCCAGGAGAACTGGAACCTTACCTGTGTTCACTGTTAACTCCCAAGGTTTAAAACAGAGTGCAACCTAGCGGATGCTTAATAAATATTTGTTAAATGAATATTGAATTCTTACAGGACGACGATTGTACTTTTTCCATTCCCAGCACTCACTATAGTGTTTGGTGATTACAGGGGTTTCAACGTGTGTTCAGTGCGCTATCACAGGCTTCCTAGAGTGCAGTTTAATTCTGCATATCCCTTTCCCCAAAACAGAGGAAATATGAAGTTGGGAGGCTGCATGCAATTAATACCATGTTTTCTTGAGGGCAGCTATCAATTCTAAAACGTCTGTGGGATTCTCAGTACTATATGTGGGAAGGATGATGGGCTCCAGATAACAGAGGCAGGACAGATAGCGTCGGGAAGATGGACTGACCAGGCTGGATTATGGGCAGGGACTGAACTCGTCATGGGAGGGGAAAGTTTTTCCTGTTCTTCTGCCCCTACTAAAAGCCAGAAACCAGCACCCTCCTCCAGCAACCTTTCAAATTCTTGGTTTCCATGAGATGGGAAAGATACAGTGACACCGGAAGCCACCTACAGATTTGTTAAACTTTATTTCCTCTGAGTCTCTGGGGAGGCAGCAGGGATGTAAGGCGAAGTGGCAGTAGCTGCAGGGGCCTGAGCAGAGCTGGTGCTGGGAGGGGCCGACATAGGCAGGACGAAGAGGCAGCGTTTAAATATTCAGGGCTGAAAGCCAGCTAATGGGTCTCCTTCATCTGTCTTTGGATTTTGTGCAGCATCTCCTGCATCCGCCGCAGCTGGAACAGGCACACGCATCAAAGTGGGGCCTCTCAGAGTCCTACAGATTTAGGGACGTCCCCCCCCCCCAACCTCTAATCCCTTCCGTCGGGCCCTTGGTAGCCCTGGGGTGTGATGGGGTTTATAATTAAACAGGGGTCCCCTCAGGCTGGCAACCCCTACCACCCCATACTAGCCTCACCTCCTCATCCTTCTCTCGGATCAGCCTCTCAGTTTCTGGATCTGTCCCTGGTGGGACGGCAGGAAGGGGGAAATCGGTACCACTCTCTAGAGTCAGTTTGCTGAAGGGAAGGGGGAAAGGAGGTTGGTAAGGCTAGGGGAACCCCAGCACCTGCTTGGACAGCCTGCGGAACAAAGGAGGGGCTTGGTCTCCTCCGCGGCGGCGCTTGGGACCCCGCCCCTGCCGGCTTTCCCGGCCTTTGGCCATACTTGCGATTCCGCTCTTTCACCACCAGGCGGGTCATGCTCTGGATGCACTGGGCCCGGTAGTTCTCATAATGCGTCTCCCGCGTCACGTCCTTCAGGTCCTGCATGTGAGTACGCACCAGCATTGTCCTCAGCTTCACAAAGTCGCAGTGCCCTGGGTTTTCCACTGCACAGCAAGGCTAGGGATCAGCCAGGCGCACGGGTAGAGGAGACCCGTTGAGGGCAAGGAGATACCCTGGTCACAAGCTCAGAGCTTTACCTTCCACGATGCCCCAGGGGTAGAGCCGGCCCCGAACTCGACGCCCTCTGGCCTCTACCACGGTGTTGCTGCCAATGACAGCAAATGGGATGCTTTCCTGGAAGAAGTTAGGGTGTCTCTCAACACCCCCATTCTCACCTGTTCCTTTGTGCCTGTAACTTCATCTTCCTCTGCTTCATTCTGGGAAACCAGGGTCCTCTTCCACCCCAAGAGCCCCTCCCTGTTACACAGAATTCTACTCCCTCTTCTGCCCAGAAGAAACAAGCTGGGAAGGGGATCCCTGGGGTGGCCCCACCTTCAGGGCCAGGTCCTGTGATTTGAAGTCCTCATCCTCATCAGAGTCACAGTCTGGGAACTGGTAGACCTTGATTCCAAAGTGCTCAATCTCCTCCCGGATCTGGCAAACACACGAGGGGCCCATGGATCTGGGGGGGACTCCAACCTTTTCCAGGAGCCCACCTGCTCCCCTCCCCCACCAGCTCCCCTCACTTTGCGTTTCTTGCGCTCCACTTCAGGAGGGGTCAGTGTGTCCGCCTTGGCCAAGATAGGCACGATGTTGACCCGCTGATGCAGGGCCTTCATAAATTCAACATCCAATGGCCGGAGCCTGGGGAACAGGAACCCGTGACCACCTGCTAGTGGCAGCCCTGCCCCAGGTGCTCTTGGCCTGTCCCCTTGGCAGCACCTGGTGGGGCCAGGAGCCTCAGGCTCAGACCATACCCGTGGCCGAAGGGCGAGATGAAGTACAGGCAGCAGTGCACCCTGTTGTCTTGAATATTCTTGCGGTTCAGGCCACTCTCATCTCGGAAATACTGCTCAAACTGCTGGTCGATGTATTCAGCCACAGGCTTCCAGCTGGGGCAGGGAACACAAGCAGAGAAACTGCAAGTGAGCGCTGCCTAGTGAGATCTGGGGCTGCGAGCAGCCCACGCCCTGGGCAGACTTTTTACCACTTTGCTCTTCCCCAACTTGCTTTACTGCATCTTCAGGGAGGTACCTGAGTGGGTCACGGTACATCTCAAACATCCTGATAGAAAATCAGACGAGGCACGTGGGCAGAGGTCGTTAAACCCTTAGTGTGATGAGAGGAAGAGAGCCCGGGTGACCAAACAAAGCAGGAAGACTAGCAAGATGCAGTGAAAACCAACTGGAGGCCAGGGCAGCCCTAAGTCAGGTTCACAGTTTAACCTCAGGGCCTTTATTCAGGTGGGTCCAGCCTCTCCTCCACCTCTCCAAGCTCACTCCGTCCTTCAAAGCCATGTCCAAGAACCAGCTCTTCCACAAAGGTTCCTGTGACTACACCAATGCACACTGCTCTTCCTTCCCTTCACCACACATGAAGGTCATATACATATATGGTATATATCATCCATATCTATGTTCAATATATACAAGAACCTCAGTTTTCAAGTCTCTTGCTCTGCTGTTATTGAGTTTTGGGCATCACTGATAGATGCCCTGATAGATGGACATTATAAGTATCATTGTTCTCATCTTATACATGAAGAAGCTAAATCCAGAGCAGCTAAGAGACTTAATCCAGATCATTTTAGCCAGCAAATTCTCTACCCATCCAAGTCCCTGGGCTCTGACTCCTAGTTCAGTGTGTTTGCCACTACACTGCCTGACCCATTTACTAACCTAAGTTTTAGCCTGATTGACACACATGTTAGAGACCTGCTCCCTCTCCTCTCCCACTCCCACTGCCACTAGACTGTAAGCTTCCAGTGACAAGGATTATTCATACTTGTTCTGTATCCCGTAAAATGTCCAGCATGAGCTGGACACCTAATCTGTACTCAAGATATTCCTGCTGGCTGACTAAATGAGCACATGTGCAGGTCCACTGTAAACTGGGAGGTGCCAGGCAAGTGGAATTATTACTACATTATGGAATGTCAGAGGAAGTAAGTAGACTGATTGAAGGAGGAAGCGATACTTGCTAAAGCAGGAAACAGGCATTGGTTGGGGCTAGAATTTCAAGGCAAATCAGCTGGCTGAGACATATTCCTAGATTAGGAAGGGTGATGACATGGAGGCCACCTCAGTCCAGCAGGAGTATTTACGGAGACCATGTACTACGCACTAGCACAGTGCTATGGCAAGAACGTATGAAGTGGCCCTCCCCTCAAGGCTTGGATCAAAAAGTTGAAGATGAACCAGTGTACTGAGCCAAGGTCTCATGTTGTAACGATAAAGCATGTGAGGTGCGTTCAGGTCACAGAAGGATCTGTGAGGTCCTGATCAGTCTGGGAGGCAACCATCCAGGGCCGGCTTCCTGGGCATGTGACCTGTGCAGTCACATGTGGGCCCCACACTCAGAGGGCCCACATCTGGTTTACTCTCTGCTGTGGCCATCTTGAAATTCTTAATCATTTTGAACAAGGGACCCCGCACTTTTATTTTGCACTGATCCTGCAAATTTATTTTGCAATTATCGTCTTTAAACCCATGAGTGTACTGTACACAGCCCTTTACAGTTTTCAATGCACATTTACATGCATCTTTCTGAGATGACTTTTAGATCAACTGGTAAAGCCAGCATTTCTCAACTGAAGAAATGGGGAGTGCAGTCATTTGCTCAAGATCACGCAGTTACTACATGCTGAGTCAGGATCTGAATTCTCAGTCCAGGAGTTTCAGCACCACCCTGCCTAATGTTCTTAACAAAGGCACCACCACCTTTTCCCCTGTTTCTATCACCCATTCTCCTCTCATCTACTCCCTTAGGTCTGACCACTATCTAAGCATCTTTCTACTTCCTGAAAAAAAAAAAATGTCAGGGATGACTGGGGAGGTGGGGAGGTGGTGTTGTTTAGTCACTAAGTCGTGTCGACAGTTTTGTGACCCCATGGACGGTAGCCTGCCAGGCTCCTCTGTCCATGGGAGTTTCCAGGCAAGAATACTGGAGTGGGTTGCCATTTCCTTCTCCAGGGGATCTTCCCCACCCAGGGATTGAACCCTCCTGAACTGGCAGGCAGATTCTTTACCACTGAGACACCAGGGAAGCGTAATGGAGCGGGGGTGGGGGGGGGGGGGGGGGGGGAGTAGCGAGTAGCCACTTTTCTTTTGGCAAGTAGCCCAGAGGGTGCTTGGAGTTTAAACAAAGTTCCACCCACACTTTCCCTTTGCCTCTTCTTTCTCACCTTCCCCTACCCCTCCACGAACTCTCACCCCTTTAATAACTTGCTTGTAGCACCTAAAATGTTGCTGGTGAAAGGAACAGATGGAGGGAGGGGGACCATTACTGAGCACCTGCTATATGTCAGGTCCTTTGCTACATGTTTTCACATGTTTGCTTTTTGAGGCACTTCCCTCAAAAAAGGGGGGTGCCCTCACCCCTATTCTAGAACTGTAGGTCAGAGTCAAAGGAACACTAGCGGTCATTTATCCCAAGGCTGTCCCTCTCACCTGACAGAGGAAACAGCCGTCCAGTAAGGGGCAGGGGCATGCTCAAGGGCACACACCCCTTCTTCCTGACATCAGGGGTGTGTCTGCACCTCTGTGTGCCTGCGGAGGGAATGGGTGGGCTGGGGGCAGGGTCTGTGCTCGGTCAGACCTACCACTCTGTGTTGTTGACGGCATCCCCAAAACCTGGTGTGTCCACAATGGTGAGCCGCAGCTTCACACCCTTCTCCTCTATGTCCACGGCATGCTTAGTGATCTCCACCGTCTGCATGATACGCTCTGGAGAAGGGGGAAACTGAGGCCAGGGCGAGGCCAAGGACCTGCCCAGTTGGGACCACAGGGCCCATCCCAACCAGCTCTGCTGCCCAGGCTGCCGCACCCTCCCTGCCCCCTCCCCGCCCCCTGGGGCTGCCCGGGGGCCTGTCTGTTCTCTGGGAACCAGCGAAGAGCACATTTCCCAACACAGGAAATGCCGGTGGCTGTTGGCTCCGGCCCCAGCCTCTTCTCTGCTCCGGCCTCTTTTCTCGGATTCCTGGAATCCTTTGGGGGGTCAGAGAGGATTCTGGCCCCTGCCCTGCTTCAGCACCCAAGTCTTTAGGGAGCTGGCTGGTGGGCTGCCAGGCTGGACAGCCCTCCGGAGAGACGTGGCAGGCTCTCTAGGAAGCCGCAGCTTCCTGTATCCCCCAGACCCCGAGTGAGCTCCATTTCCCAGGTCAGCTCTGCCCGCCTGTCCCCACGCTCCTTCCCTCACCTTCTGCGCTGAGGAGCTTCCGGTCCCGGTACAGATCCGTGAGGAAGAGGCTGTTGACCAGCGTGGACTTCCCCAGGCCCGACTCTCCTGACGGGGGAGACAGGACAGGCACACAGCAGTCACCAGGAGGCCACCCCACTGGGCCGAGTTTGTGGGGAGCTTCTTGCCTATCTCACTGGGAATAGACTAACCCAAACACAGCAGAGCTGGAAGCAAGCAGAGACGAGAGCTCATCCAGCCAGTGAGGCCCAGAGAGGATAAGGGGTTCCCAGGGTCACACAGCAAAAGGCAAATGTTAGGACCCTGAGGGTTGAGGGTTCTCTGGACCTCGTCACTGCCCCCTCCCCCACAGCACATAGGATGCGGACTTTGGGCTGCCTTCAGCTTCTGGCTGTTCTGCAAAAAGGCCCAGCCACTTGCTGCTTTCTCCTGCCCTGGCCATACCCCAGCGGCTCAGACAGCAAAGAAGCCTCTTGAAATGCAGGAGACCTGCGTTCCACCCCTGGGTCAGGAAGATCCCCTGGAGAAGGGAATGGCAACCCACTTCTTGCCTGGAGAATCCCTTGGACAGAGGAGCTTGGCGGGCTATAGTCCATGAGGTCACAAAGAGTCAGACACGACTGAGCAACTAACACCCATAACCCCCCCCACACACACACATGAACCATCCCCACCTGAAACACCTCTTGCCCAGCTCTGCCCGGCCCCTGCTCTACCTGCCACCATGAGGGTAAAGTCAAAGCCTTTCTTCACAGACTTCCGGTGGACTTGATTGGGGAGGGTTGCAAAGCCCACGTACTCCTTGTCATCCTGGGGGACGACGAGAAAGCAGAGTGCGTTAGGGCAGGGGCCGAAGGACCCCAGGACTCAACACCAGCCTTCTCCCCGCCTCTTGGGTCTTTGCCCAGCCTTCCAGGATAGCTGCCACACTCCTCTGAGGCCCCAGGTGGGGCCACCAGCGGGGCTCCTCTCCCTGCTGACACTGTCGGGTTCCAATGCATGGGGGGTGCGGGGGTGACCCCACAGAGCTGGGGCCAACACAGGACAGAGCGCGTCTCCAGCCACGTGTGGGTGCACACACACACTCACACACACGCAGCACACACTTCTGGGGCTCCCTCGGCTCCCTCCCCAGGGCCTCCTGAATCAGCACAGACGGGGCTGGAGGCTCTACCTCGGAGGAGTCATAGGGATCGAGCTTGCCCCACGGGCTGCGGGGCCGGGCTGAGGGGCTGAGGGGGGCTGAGGCAGAGAAGTACTGCTGGCTGTCAGAGGGCTGGGGCCACGAGGGGGGTTTGAACTCCAGGTCATCCTGGCAGAGGTCTGAAGCCTGGGGCCTCGGCTCCTGGATTTGGGGCCTGGGCACCAAGGTCTTGGCCTCTGGTGGGTGGTAGGTCTCGCTTCCTGGGAAATCCTTCACGAACTTGTTCAGTTCTGCGTCATCCGCGTCCTCCAGAAAGCGCTTGATCTGAGGGGCAGGGGCGGGGTGGGGTAGGCGGGTCGGTGGCAGGAAGGGAAGAAGGAAGGAGCAAGACAGGAGAAGGCAAGAGGGAGAGAGGAAAGCACGTGTGGTTAGAAGGGAAGGAAGCTGCACAGGCGGCCAAGCCAGAGGAAGCGCTCGCCACCCTCCCCTGCTCACAGGCCTCCTGCCCGAGGGTCCGCAACATCAGGAGACCCCAGGGAGCAGCAGCAGCCCTCCAGCGCCCTAGCAACCGCTCTGGGGACCCAGCAGCTCCGGTCTGGATGCTCCCTCGCAACAGGGTGCTGGTCGAGGCTGCCCCTCCACGCCAGGGCCAGGGACTGCCCTAGAGGCCAGGAAGCCAGGCCGAATGAGCGGAGCAGACAGAGGCATTAGAGCGGAGAGGAGAACGTGGCTCAGGACGGAAGGAGAGTGCAGACCGCCGGGACGGGTAGGGGCGGGAGGCGGGAGGGAGCCAGGGCGGGGAGAAGGGAGCCTCCAGCCCCGGGCGACTCAGAAGCCAGCAGGGGGCTCCTCCACTCCAGCCGCTGCAGCCCTGAGCCCCGGGACTCGGGAGCCGACTCTCCGGAGGTGTTCTCTCCCTGAGCGCAGAGCAGCAGACCTGAGCCCCCTGATTCCAGACCCTGAGCCCTGGGTTCCGGGGTGAAGGTGAAACACGCCAGCTGATGCTCGTGAGGGTGGGAAGGACTGGGTGAGGGAGGCTGGGGGGACACTGCAGACAGCCCCCAGCTGCGAGGGTTGTAGAGGCGGAGGCGCCCTCGGCTGCTCCCTGCCCCCTGCCCCCTGCCCTGAGCTAGGCTTCAGCTGGCAGTACCGGAGGGGGTCTGGCCTCAACTGTGAAGCACACGGGGGTGGGGGGAGCAGACTGTGGCTGGCTCTTCTGCGGAGACCTGTCCCCCCACCATCTCCAGCTGGGAAGACAGGCCACGTCCCCCTTACTCTGACCCTGAGTTCTAGACCCCAAAGCTTCCTCTCTCCTTTGGGGGCCAGCCCCTTTCGTGGAGTGCCTGGCGGTGCTGGGCTCAGCTCTGCCTCACAATGCCCATGTGCCACCCCCAGACAATGGACAAGGGCCGGCTTCACAGGCTGACTCACCCCCTGGGAATCAGCCAAGCTAGTGGGGGCTACCCCAGACCACAGTGGAGTCCCAGGCAGGGGAGATATGACAGCCACCGTCTTCAGCAGGTTCCCGTTTAGGGCGGGAAGAACTGAGGGATGCAGTCCTACGAACTGCAGAGGGAAGGGACTAGAAGGGGGCTAGAGGGAAAAGCCGCCTAAGAGCTACTTCTGGGCTATAGCCTCTCAAGTGCCCCCGCCGGCTTAGAGCCACAGTCTCCAGGGCTTGCCTGGACAGGAAAAGGGGTCTTTTAGCCTGAAACTGGAACCAGCGTGTGGGGGCCAAGTGGCCAGAAGAGACGTCCTGAGGCAGGCCTGACCCAACAGGCTTTTTCTCACCCACAGTATCTTGGGGTCCAGTGGGGTGACCGTTCATCCCGGTTTATGTTTGCTGTCTTAGCAGAATTGCCACTTTCCACTCTTAGAAGTGTCCCAGCTCAGACGATTAATTATACAGCAACGGGGAAGGGATGCGGGTGGGGGGGGCGGGCAAAGTGTGTGTGACAGGTCTTGTTTTCTGGCAGTCCAAGAGTCTGGGGAATTTGGGGAAATCCTGTCCCTCTGCACAACCCCACAGGAACCCAGAAGTCCGTCTGGGGGCAGACTGAGGGTGGGAGAGAGGGGGCTGTCTCCACCTGGTTCCACCAGGAGCGCTGAGCAGAGGGGCAGCAGCCCAGGGAGGAGGCAAGGCCCTGACAGAGACCCCCAGCCTCCTGCAAACCTTCCAGGAGAGCTGCCAGCACCGCTGTCCCTCCAGCGAGCCCAGGAGGGACCCACAGGAGCTCCAACCAAGGGGTCAGGACCCCAGGGGCCTCATTGGCCCCCCAGCTCTGCCACGGAGCCAATCCTTCCTCCACGGACCCAATCCTTCTCTGCCTCTGAGCCCCGATCCAGCCAACGCAAGGGGGAAGACGAGGCAGGTCCACCCTTTCCCGGAGCAGCCTTACCCCAGCTTCAGCCCTCTCCTCGGGGACAGAACTGCCTTGCCGTCCCAGGGAACGGTCCATGTCCCACGCTTCAGACTCCCTGTCAGCAAGCTCTAGGTCTAATTTTATCTGCCAGGCAAAGTTCCTCACGCACAGAAACAGCCTGGTCTTGGTGTTCTTGTAACCCGGCGTCCTGACTTGCTCCTCTCCCTTTCTCTCTGACCCCCCTGTCTCTGTCAGGGGCCAAAAAAGCCTGTGGAATGTCGTTCCCCACCCCCTCCCCCCTCCCTTCCCTTGGCTCCCACCCTCCAAGGACAGCTCAGCTGCAGCGGGACCGCTGCTTTCCTCTGCAGTCCCGTCCTCCTCTGATTGGCTCCCCTGTGATGCCTGCCCGCTGCCTGCCGTGGTGGGCACAGCAGCAGCCTCCCAAGTCCGTCTGCAGGCTCCTCATCCACTTGGCTTCTCTTGTTAACTCCCAAGGACGCCAAGGCCTATCGGGGGCTTCAGCCCTGTCCTCAAGGTGACCTGGTCCAGGAGACTTCATCCCAAAAGGATTCTGACCTCTCTCTTTTCACCGTAACTTCAAGCAGTGCTGAAGTAGGGTGGGGTGTCCTACCGTCCCTGGTGTGTAGGTTCTCATGGGAATGGACCCACTTTTCTTCCCAGTGTCGCTGTGGGTTCCTCCCAGCAGAGAACTGCACTACCTTCAGAAATCGCCATCAGACATTTCCCTGCGGAGGGCCCCAGGCGCACAGGGGCCTTTGCCACACAGACGCCTCCCATCCTAGGGTACCTGCCCTCTCAACTCATCCAAATCCTTTCCATCCGCCCATCGCTCTCAGGGAGTCAGCAGCTAACACGTGGTCTCTGTGGGGCATGACCTCGGGGAAGAGGCTGGCATCCCAGAGGCTTCCAAGTTACTGATCAGGCGGGACATGCATAGAGAGGGACCTCGCTGGGCCTGCGCACATGGAGACCTGACCGGCAGACCGCAGGCCTGTGTTTCCGGTTTGGCTAGAAACACCCTTTGTGACTCTGAACAGTGTCTTAATTTCAGGGCCTTAAATGTCCAATTGTGAGCGGCCCTTCCCTGTCCCAGGAAGGCTGAGGAAAGCAAGCACTCCCAGATGACAGGTACACCTCAAGCTGCTTTGAACCTGGGGAGAGAAGGGACAGCTCAAGTGACAGGATGGTTATTAACATGAGCCAGTCATTCTTTCTGTATGCCAATTAAGCCCTCCTGGGGGGCTCCCAGGCTGGGGAGCTCTCCCCACTGGTCTCCCAAGCACCTGGGTCCCTCATCTCCTCTTACAAAGAGATCCTCACAGACAAGCGGGGCTGGCTTGAGGGCAGGGGCCTGAGGCGGAGGACTCTGGTCGTGACAGGGTGTCTTTAATTACAGAGGAACAGGCCAATTACAACTCAGCCAAGTTGAAGCCCCAAGACCTCATTTGAACTGAACTTAATGTGTGGCAGAAAAAGCCTCCCTTGGCCCCCGCACTAGGGACATTTGGCACTACGAACAATCAGAGCTCCCCTCGGCTCCCACCCCAGGACCATCAGTTGTCTGTCCCCACGTGGGGAGACGGATGCGGGCAGGGATAAAGGCAGGCACCACTTGGCCTCTCCCAGGAACCCCCCTTTGGGGAAGGTCACAGTGTCACCCAGACTTCCTGGCCAAGACTTGGGCCTCGGCCTGGACACAGCTTGACAGAGGAGAGACCAAAAGGTTGGCCTGTCCAGACCTGGAAGCTCCTGATTCCACAGGGCCCAGGGAGCGCCCTTCTGGAGGCTGCCCACAGCCAACATCCTGCCCCACAGGCTAGCGACAGATCTCCCACTGCCGTAAACAGCCTGGGCCTCCCACACAGAGGGCAAAGGCAAGGGGGCTTCCAGACCGGGAGCAGAAGCTGGCACAGGGCCTGAAGGCCCTGACACCCAGCACAGAGTGTCTGTGGCAGGCTCTGGCCTTGAGGTCAGGACGAGAGCTGGCACCCTCACAGTCAAACCTCGACACTTCCTACCTGGGGGTCTCCAGAGAGGCGGGCTGCGGTTACTGCTTCTCCGCCCATCACAGGCAGGTGGCAGGAATGAGTTCCCTCCACCCCCCATCACTGCAGAGGGACCTGGTTTGGGGGGACGGGGGGACAGGTAGGCTGCTGCAGGAGGAAGATTCCCTTGGGTCCCTATCTCAGGGGCAGAGGGATGTGGAGTGCTGGCTGGGCCGCCCTCTCTCAGAGGTCCCTGGGCAGAGGGTTCTGTGGGAAGGGCCTAGGAGCAGCCCCTTGGCAGGCGGTGGGGAGGAGGGCCCAAGCGTCTCACCAGCCCTCTCTGGGAGGCAGCAGTGTTTGTGAGCCTCCTGTGTATGTTTTCCAAAAGAAGTTGCTGCTGGTCCCTGAGCCCTGGGTAGGTGGGGGTGAGGAAGGGTCACCCAGGTAACAGCTGACCCAGGCAAGGGCGGGGACCCTCAACTCCGCCCCTGCCGGACTCGCTCGCCCCAGCCCACCTGCGCGTCTCGACCGCCTCCCTCTCCCGACCCTGCACCGACCCACCCCTTCGTCCAAGAAGCGGGCAGCACCCCGGGGGCCGGGGCCCACTTCGTGCCTGCTCGGATCAGAAGGAGAAACTTGGGAGCAGCGACGCAGTGCCGTCCGCCACCAGCGTCTGCCCGTGCCCGCGGCGGGCGACAGCGCCTCCAGCCCCGCGCAAGCCCGTGGCCGCTGCGCTGGCCTGCGGGTGGGCCTTGCAGCTCGCGACCCTCGGAGGCAGGGTGCGGAGAGGCGACCGGGCAGGGCTTCGCTGGTCATCTGGCTCTCCCTGAGCCCTCAAGAGTGGCCTGCCCAGGCGGCGCGGCACCACGGGGTCTTGAGCCAGTCCCCAAAGAAAAAGGAAGGGCCCACCTGGCACCACCTGGAGAAGCCTTTGGAAGGAGAGGGGAATTTGCCCCATGGGTTGGAGAGAAACAGTTACCGCGGAGAGTCCACAAGGTTTGTGAGAATTGAACCCAGCTGATGTCCAAGTTACTGATCGTCCATAATGTCTGTATACCTCCTAAGGTGGACGTCAGAGAGTCCCCACCTCCAGCCGAGCTGTGAAGGAGAGCCAGGAGGTTCCCTTCCTGCAGGACCCTAGATTAAAGATTAAAGAGGATTTGCTGCATAAACTACCCTGGGATCATCTGCTGGAAGAGTGGAAGGGAGAGGCCGAGTGGCCTTTCTGGGCAGTGAAGCTTTGCCCGGGGCTGTGGAAGGTGCGGAGGGCCTCAGGACAGGCCAGGCTGGGCAAGCAGGTGAGATGCTGTGGAGACAGATGCCCCAGCAGCTTTAGAGGCATTAGAGGCTCAGGAGGGCAAGCAGCAGCTCAGAGAAAGTAGATGCTTGGGGCGGGGAGTTGGTGGGGATTTCCTGAGCTAATACGGGTCTGAGCTGGTCAGGCTTCTGTAGAAGTTTCCAGAAGCATGCCCCTCTGTGACTTCTAAGAGTCCTCCTCCAGGACAGACTGGGAGGCCCCTATACACTTTGGACAAAACTAAGGCCACACATGGCCCCCCCTCTATTGGTAGGAGTGCCAAAGGCCTATCTACACTCTTTGGGTCTGATCCACAGCCTGGTGGTCTTGGCTGGAATCCGTCAAACGCAGCTGGGTACCCCGAGTGAGATCAGATTCAGAAAACATGGGACTGCCATTAAATATCTGGCAGTGGTGGGAGGGAGGAAAGAAGGGATGTCATTCCTTAAAGAAGTCAGGACATTCATGAGCCAGCAAGTCAAAGAGAAAACTTTCTATCTGGGTAACCTCACTTCACCTCTCTAGGCTCAGTTGCCATACCTCAAAATGAGGGAATTAAACTAAGCTAGAGACCAGCAGATTGGCTCCAATGAGAGGCAACTTCTGAAAATATAGGAGGTTCTTGGAAAAGGTCCAGGGTAGATCAGAAGATATGAAGCTCTACTTAGGAAAACAAACACATAAAGGAATTCCTTTCGAGAGAGACCACTGTCTGTTAGAAGTCTGCAGAAACAGCAGCACTTGCTGCCATTGGACCCAAATGTCAAATTTGGGCTGCACAAAGCCCCTCTGTTGGGAACTAGCTGCAGCCACTTGTTCTTATGTCCGCACTCCTCATAGGAAACTTCTTGGGTGTTTCAGCCCTCAAGGCCAGGGCTGGGGGAGCTGGGCCCAAGGGGGAAAGCCTACATCAAGGAGGACAGGCCCTATCACAGAACCTTGTTTTTCACAATCATAACGTGCCTCCTCCCCCTGGTTCTGGTTGCTGTCCAAGCATGGACACAGACACATCTCAGCTAGCAGCTCATCCTCCGCTGTAGCTGGAACCCCAGGCTCTGCTCTGTCACTGGCTGCCCAGACTCCAAAGAGCCCTGTTTCATGAGACATGTTGGTGCCCGTTTGCTTGGAAGGAAGCAAAGCCCCAAGAGAGATTGGGGACCATGAAACTCATCTCCAAGCCAAGAATCTTGGGGTCTTGATGGTCACAGGCCCGCATGAAGCATGGGCCATGAGGAATGGGCTGGGCAAAAAAAAAAGCCTAAGACAGACTTTGGGTCACTCTATCTACACAACCCCACACGCTCACCCTGCTGCAATTGAAGAGTCTCCATGAGAACTTGGCCTGGGAATAAGTCCCTGAGATAAGTGCCAAAATTATCTCAATGTCTGCAAGTCCCTTCCCTTCCCTGTGTTTCTGAAAGAAAGGACTGTTCTACCCTCAACACCAATTCTTATGTTCGATGTCGGGACAGGTGGAGTTGGACATTTGGAAGCAGGGCTGAGATACAGCAGCCCTCGTATGTGTCATTGACCACTGAGCGCTCAGCGCCACCCCCAGCCAGCAGGTAGCCTGGCCAACCCTGCCTCAGTACCCTCAGCTCCTGGGCTCCGGCTCCCTCTCCCTCTTGAAATTCAACATCCCAGGAGCTCCCTGGTGGCCCAGTGGTTCGGATTCCACGCTTTCACTGCTGGGGCCTGGGGGGAACTGAGATCCTGCAAGCCATCCCAGCCTGCTGTCCTGGGCTCCATCCACTTAGGCCAGGCCAACATGGTCTGTATGGAAACCTCCTGGCCCCGCCTCCACTGGGGCCCAACCTTGGGTGAAGGGTGTACAGCCCAGGGATGTCAAACAGGGATGCTGTACTTGGGCTCAGGCAGGACCCAGGTTCAAAGCCAAGATTAAAGAGTAATTACCACCAGAAATCAGGATTTCAGATCTGCCTGACTAGCAAAGATCACTTTAGTCTCTTGGTAGCAGTTTCCTTTATGCGGTGCAAGAGCTAATAGTACCTGTGCCCCAGAGGTGCTGAGTCAGTGATAATTTAAGGCAGCAAGCCCTGGCGGAGCCGAAGTTCTATCACTGGGTTGTATCTTTCAAGGAAACCTTAGCCAGCCTGTACATCAAGGTCTGTACAGAGAGGTAAGAAACCAAAATACCCTATGCCCCACTCCTCCTCTCATTGTTCCCCAATGTTCCATGATCCTGGGACAGGCGTGAGATGTAGGCGGCAAGGTCCGGGAACATGGTGTTTCCTGGCACCTGCTGAAGGGCTGCAGCAAGGGACAGCAGCCAGTCAGAGAGCCCTTCCAACATCCTCTGTGCAGCAGGACAGGCCAACCCTATCACAGAACCTTGTTTTTCACAATCATAACGTGCCTCCTCCCCCTGGTTCTGGTTGCTGTCCAAGCATGGACACAGACACATCTCAGCTAGCAGCTCATCCTCCGCTGTAGCTGGAACCCCAGGCTCTGCTCTGTCACTGGCTGCCCAGACTCCAAAGAGCCCTGTTTCATGAGACATGTTGGTGCCCGTTTGCTTGGAAGGAAGCAAAGCCCCAAGAGAGACTGGGGACCATGAAACTCATCTCCAAGCCAAGAATCTTGGGGTCTTGATGGTCACAGGCCCGCATGAAGCATGGGCCATGAGGAATGGGCTGGGCAAAAAAAAAAGCCTAAGACAGACTTTGGGTCACTCTATCTACACAACCCCACACGCTCACCCTGCTGCAATTGAAGAGTCTCCATGAGAACTTGGCCTGGGAATAAGTCCCTGAGATAAGTGCCAAAATTATCTCAATGTCTGCAAGTCCCTTCCCTTCCCTGTGTTTCTGAAAGAAAGGACTGTTCTACCCTCAACACCAATTCTTATGTTCGATGTCGGGACAGGTGGAGTTGGACATTTGGAAGCAGGGCTGAGATACAGCAGCCCTCGTATGTGTCATTGACCACTGAGCGCTCAGCGCCACCCCCAGCCAGCAGGTAGCCTGGCCAACCCTGCCTCAGTACCCTCAGCTCCTGGGCTCCGGCTCCCTCTCCCTCTTGAAATTCAACATCCCAGGAGCTCCCTGGTGGCCCAGTGGTTCGGATTCCACGCTTTCACTGCTGGGGCCTGGGGGGAACTGAGATCCTGCAAGCCATCCCAGCCTGCTGTCCTGGGCTCCATCCACTTAGGCCAGGCCAACATGGTCTGTATGGAAACCTCCTGGCCCCGCCTCCACTGGGGCCCAACCTTGGGTGAAGGGTGTACAGCCCAGGGATGTCAAACAGGGATGCTGTACTTGGGCTCAGGCAGGACCCAGGTTCAAAGCCAAGATTAAAGAGTAATTACCACCAGAAATCAGGATTTCAGATCTGCCTGACTAGCAAAGATCACTTTAGTCTCTTGGTAGCAGTTTCCTTTATGCGGTGCAAGAGCTAATAGTACCTGTGCCCCAGAGGTGCTGAGTCAGTGATAATTTAAGGCAGCAAGCCCTGGCAGAGCCGAAGGTCTATCACTGGGTTGTATCTTTCAAGGAAACCTTAGCCAGCCTGTACATCAAGGTCTGTACAGAGAGGTAAGAAACCAAAATACCCTATGCCCCACTCCTCCTCTCATTGTTCCCCAATGTTCCATGATCCTGGGACAGGCGTGAGATGTAGGCGGCAAGGTCCGGGAACATGGTGTTTCCTGGCACCTGCTGAAGGGCTGCAGCAAGGGACAGCAGCCAGTCAGAGAGCCCTTCCAACATCCTCTGTGCAGCAGGACAGGCCACGGGAGGCCCAGGGGTGGAAGGGGCTCCCACGCCTCCGAATGCTGCTACCCACTGTGTGTCTGACACCCTCCAAGGCCCACTCCCCTGACCTTCCAGCCTCTGCTTAAATATCTTCCCTGCTCAAAACCTCCCTGACTCCTAACAACTGCCCTTCAATCTTTGGGTGGTGAATTACCAAGGTCTTCATTACCGAGCCAAAATCTGCCTCCTCCTGGTCATTCCCCTCCAAGTGCTTCCGTGCTAGAAGCTTTGCTGACTCATTGCCCTGGACTTTGTCCTTTGATATTCACTTCCCTTCAAGTGACCCATCTGTATACTTTTCTCTCCAGATCAACCACAAGCCCCTCAAGGACAGGGCGAATGTTTTTCTATTTTAACCTCTACTCATTTCCACTCAGCAAATATGTCATGTGATGTCTGCCTAGGTGACCAGGCCTCTGCCCCC